TGTTTTCGATGTCTCTTTTGGTAGTGCCTTCTTTAGATATTATAGATCCGAGATAATTATATTCCTTGCATGTTTTTGTGTTTCTAATTTCTAACTCTGGATCTTCTTCATCATCTCCTATTTTAAGATACTCTGTCTTTGACATATTCTTATTGAGGCCCCATTTTTCATATTCTTCCTTTAGTTTTCTAAACATGTAGTCCATGTCTTCCTCATCATTCGCTACGACTACCTGATCATCTGCGAAAAATAAAGTTGTTAGACATTTATCATCGCCTATTGTCCACTCGCGTATTACCTATGTCTATTCCCATTCCGAATACTTGTTTCCTCCACTGCTCTAACGATGATGGAATATATATTTTAAATAAGGTCGGAGATAGACAACATCCTTGTTTAAGCCCCTTTGTTATTGGAAATGATTCAGATATAAAGTTTCCTTCTTTAACGACACTTCTTGCATTTTTGTATATATTTGCGGTAGCATTCACTTACTCTCTACTGAGACCTACTTTCGTCAATGTTTGTAACAGTTTTTTCAAAGGTACCGTATCGTATGCCTTCTCTAAATCTACAAACAATAGGTGGGTAGATAGATTCCTTGCCTTCCGTTTTTTCGATTACCTGCTGCAGAACGAATATACCATCAGTGCACGATCTTCCTGCACGAAATCCATTTTGTTCTTCTATATCTTCGTATTCTGATTCTATTTTTTTTATTATTCGACCGTGCAACCTCCCCACTGAGCTGATAACAGTTATTCTCCTATAATTAGAGCATTTGCGTTTCTCCCCTTTCTTGAATATTGAGCGGATGTATCCAATATTTCAATCATCCGGGATATAAAGATACTCTTTTTAATTCTGAATAGTTGCCTTGTTTGTGCTCTTGTTTTGTTAAAATCTGCTTTGTTCTCATCTGTGGGGTCTCGTCTCGTAGCATTTTCAATCTTTTTTTCATTTTTTTTTTCAGAATTTCCTGGCATGCTTTGTCAAACCATTTCCGTTTTGGGCGAGTTCTCTTTTTTCCAATGGTTTTCTTGGCTGCTTGTTCTTTAACTGATGCCACTTGCTGCCATGCTCGTTCTAACTCTACATTATGCTCTTCCTCTCCCAGCAATTGAAATCTGTTGCTTATTGCCACTTGACAATCCAGTTCTTTATTCCTCCAACTCTGGTTATATCGAATTAACACTTAAAAACTATACTCCGATTAGTACTTGTAAAATGTTTATGTACAAGAGCATCATGTACATTTAACACTAAAGTTTTCATTGGCAAGGTTTAATCACACTTTAATTTCATAGGAGCAAAATTAAACGTTTGTGACATTTTTACTACACAAGTTCACCTAATAATATCGCTTTTTATTACAGAACTATAGTTTTATTTTTATGAACGAGAGAGTAATTAGCATAATTTTAACTGGTACCTCTGACCACTCCATGGGCGTGCTCAAGATTAATTGAAAAATTACTTTGAATAATTGTAAAAAATAAATCAATTATTTCAGTGTTATAAAGTGTTATGTGTATGTAAACAAAAGTGACCTCTTTTATCACACACTATATTAGAACTGACTGGCCTACATTAAAAAAGCTTTTAAAAAATTCACATTTTTTTTAATTTTTAAAAATTACAAAAGAGAAAAAGAGTTTTTAAAAACCGTCTAAGGTATGTTAAATAGATGAATAAAAATATTAATATAAAACTTACAGTTACTTGTTACAAATCCAAATCAGATTCAGAAGATGAACTTTCAGAACCAAGATTTATAATAACTGGCTCGATCATTTTATCAGTAATATTGTCCGGCTTCCACATTTTTTCCTCTTCTTTAATAGTGTGATTTACTGCCTTTTCCCAGTTTTCAGGTTTTACATTATTTACGGCCTCCAAAAACAACTGTTTAACATCATGAATTTTAAAAGTGGTATTTTTTCTTGAAACTTCACTCTTTATCTGTGCCCATACCAATTCAATCGGGTTTAATGCACAATGATATGGTGGGGATCTAAGTACTGTCATTCCACGATTTTTGGCAATTTCATCAATTTCGTATTTTTTAAATTTTTCTTTATGAAGGGCACACAACGAATAAAGTTCCTTTTTTATAGATCCGGGATGGTACGTAATATTTTTTGAACTCAGCCAATTCTGCAAGTCTTTTTTTAAACCACTTGGTTGTGGGCAGTCCTTCTATTAGTCTGGAGTGATAACTTGCATTATCCATTACTATTACACAGTTCTTAGGAAGAAGATCTATCATTTGTTCGAACCATTCTTGAAAGACATCAGCGTTCATGTCTTCATAGTAGTCACCGGTACGAGTTGATTCAAAAGCTAATAAACCACCTTCAACAAAACCGTCTGAACTGCCAATGTGTACTATTATCAGCCTGCGTCCCTTTCCTGATGGTGGGTTTAAACCAGTAGATAAGTTATTTACAAAAGCGTGCCTTTGACTTGTAACAGTTTCATCCTGCCAAAATTTATTTGGTGTATGACCCTCGTTGATCCATGTTTCGTCAAGATAAAATATTTTTCTTTTTTGGTTTCTCATTTCCTTTATGGTTCTTAGAAAATGTCTTCTCCATATGACAATATCGCTTCTTTCTAATAAAATAGACTTTCTGGGATTCTTTTTCCAGCGGAAGCCTATGTCTTTTAAAAGTTTCCATAACGTACTTCGACTCATTTCTGGGTAATCCTTATCATCTTGAACTGAGACAAGAACTTTATCCAATGTTGGAAATTCTTGTCTAAAGAAGAATTCATGCACTTTCCGTCGAAGTCCTTCTTTAAAATGATATTCTATTTGAAATGTTGGTTTCCCTGGAGCATTAGGTGGCATTTGAAAACTACCACATTTCTCTTCTTTAATAACTCTGTAAATCGTAGATTTCCCAACACCAAGTGTACTGCTAACTAACTCAACGGTCTCATCAACACTTCCACATAAACGTTTGTCTGTCAATGATTTAAAACAATTAAATATTAATGTTTTTTCATTAACTGTTAAAGGACCAATTTTTCGGCGTTTACACGGCACTTCCAAATTTTCCATAACACTAGTATACACAATAAACTGCACCTTGCAACTGAAGTACCTACTTTTAGTGAACTGTTACGAATTTTGAATACGCCACTTGGACCTTCCTACAAAATGGAAAAACCCACTATCACATTTTCTGTGGAATAAGTTTAGAAGGTAATTATCTAGTCAATTACTGTCGTAGATTCCTGGAATTAAAGAATTAAATGTTTGATTGTTGAAACCCTTACTTCGTGGAATGCACTCATTTCAGATAAAATAAAACGTTTTATTTTATCTAAAGAATTAAACTTTATTTTGCAAGTAGGTAGGTACTTATTAAACTTTTATTGGTTATATATAACCAATAAAATAAACATCTTACATTTCTTGCAAATTCATTAGTACCTGTTAACCTCCATCACTCCGACACTGGCAACCTTATTTAGGGATTAGTAACCCTCACAACTATTGTATTCTATTCTGCTCCAACCTTTATACCTGGTGGTCATACTCAATTTAAAATTGTTTTCCTATGTACTTCTGTAAACTTGTTGACAAATATCTGTTTTTCATTGAGTCACCCGTATCAACAGTTTAGGGATTTGCATATATAGTTTATTGTTTTATTACTCTCTCATACATAAAAATACACTATAACAATCTTGCGTGTAATATTCACAGGACTTCAAACACATTCTGTTAATCTTAATTAAAATTATTGACAATCTGCAAAAAAAAACCGTTCTGAGGCTTGGAAATTTGAATCTCTTCTAAGAAAGTTGAGGGCTTATAAATTGTCACTGTCCGTTTTATTTTAGAATTTTGAGTTTTATCTTACGTGCAATATAGTTTGTGCTATCCAAAATCATTGTCAAATTATATAACTAACATTTTCATATTTCGTAAGATCTTTTACATAAAAAGTCTATAACACTCTTCAAAGTATATGCTTTTCTATGTCACCATGCGTTCTTCTAGTAAAACTATTATTATAACATATGGTAATTAATAATGACTCTAAACACAGGCCTAACCGCTAACTGTTTCCAAATATCTACTAAATCTCTTTGTGGGCCCGATCTATTTTTACAAAATTTCGCAATTGCCGGGATATTTTTAGCCGTCGCGCTTTTTAATTCTAATAAATGTCGTTGTCCTTGCTTCCTGAACTTTGTTTATCACTTCTAGTGAGGAGCCAGGCATCTAGCAAGCGAGTTATTTGTTGACATAACAGTGCAGCGTTTATTGTAGGTACACAACGCACACTTCTTTCTCGTAGTCGAGTGCGTCTTACCACCAAGGCTATCTTGATTGTTGAATTCTTAAAAACTATTTTAAAAATAAACATCACGGTTGTTACTGGTTTATCATTACCTGCTTGAAAGGTAGTTACTGAAGGAGCTTGTTGTGAAAGAGGTAGGTTTTTCTTTTTGGACGACTACAAGTTGGTGGTTAATAAATATACAGGGTCATATATTAATATATCGCTGTTGTGCGTGAAAAGTCATAAAACTTGAAAACGAGAAAAACATTATTTAAAATTTTGCAAAAACTTATTTTTTTATAGTTGAAGACTACAGAGGAAAAAAGACAATTTTTTAAATTTTTGGAAAACGCGATTTTTAGATTCAAAACTTCATAATTCATAAATAAACATGCTAAACAACTATTGTATTGAGTATTTGACAACTCATATATACAGAGTATGATATTATAAAATTGAAATTGTCATGTACAGTAGGTAACAAGAGAAATTAAAAAAAAAACCAAAGGTCTGGAGGAAAAAGGCAAAAAACGCTGTAATTGGCAAAATAATATAATATGAATTCAACGAAAGAAAAAAATAAGCAGAACTATAACTTGTTTAACTTAACTAAAGCTAAAAACATTAATATTATCTGTTAAATGAACAATAACATTGTAAAATTCTTAAGATAAAAAATAAGTCATGTTTTTTTTTTAGCTGATCAAAATACATTCTTCCTTTTTCTGAACAATTTATTTTTAAATATTGGAGATCTTTGTATTTTGCCAATGAAATGGGCGGTGACTCAGTATAGGATCGAGAAGGAAAAATGAATTCTTTTCCAGTATACGGTGGTTCCCTACCAGTTTTTTTGTTAATGACAGCCGAAACCATTGTTCCATTGTAGGTATCTCTGAAATAAATTAGTCTGGGATGTTAGCTTTGAAATGCTTAATTCTCTTATTGGTCTAGTTTTAAAAGGTGCTTTTGTAACATACATAGGTGTAAGAAAAGTGTCCCAGCTACGCACCAAGTAGTTATCAACCACTTCTACTTTATAAGGCACAGGTTTTTGACGAGCCAATCGTAACACTGCTTCCCAGTCTTCTGGGGCTTCTGCTGCACTTTTTTGATTAACAATACCAAAATCTTTATCCGTCTCCATGTAAGAGTTACCTCTTATAGGAAAGGTCACAGAAATAGAATCAAATCTGTTTATTTTATGGACTAAATAATGTAAAAACCTGAATACCGTCCAATTTTTATTTTGGCCTCCACACGAATCACAGAAAATCACTAAGTTACGAACTTCAGGAGGAAGCTGGATTGTCACATAGTCATACAGAAATGAGCAAACTTCATTGGCACCCTTTCGAGCTACTGTTTCAGGGTACAAGTACATAACAACATCATTATCACTAAGTCGATGGACATTAAAGGAGTAGAAAGAAAATTGCCTTATACACGTCGTTACACGTAATATTAGGCATTGGAAGGTTTTTATTATAGTCCATGGCTATGACTTCATATTCTCTTAAGATCCTTGCTCGTAGTTTAGCTTTTGTTTTTCGTTTGTAAAATGTCTGTGCTTTCAGCAAGTGAAGTTTCTGTCCTGTTTTAAGTTTATTAATTAATTTTTTCATCTTTACATTCCCTTATTTTTATTTTGGAAGCATCACAAATGCTGCAAGTGTCGGTTCTGTTGGCATGTTTCTCAAGGAACATTTTGTACATCTTTTTAATGTTAAGTTCCTCTGGAAGGTATTTCCTGTTAGATTTTTTTTAGGCTGTAGTGACTCATGCGACCTTTGAATGATTTTATGTGATTTAAAATTAACTGCATAGTTTCTTCAGACAATTTATTGGGTCTTGAGCCATGTTTACCTCTATTGTCATTGGCGGTTGTACCATGTTTTAGGACTTTTTGTACAGTTTGTAATCTTCTCGTGGATATGCCATGAAGGCAACAAAAGCTTTTTGACAAACCTGAACGTCTTTTGCAGGTGATGTATGCCCCTCATCATTAGTTACCGCAAGGGGAATTCTGTAGTAAAAAAAGCCATCTCTTACGTTGCAGTTCTCTTCATGTTTTCTTGACATTCTTTGAGTTACAGGAAGTATGGATATAAGACCACCCAAATACATACTTTGCTCGTCCCAATTCAGCATAGAATTAAAATTACGAATAATTTTATTTCTTTGTTCAACCGATATATTTTCAAAACACTGATAACGTTTTGCAACGGCAGTCCTCACTGTTTCGTGAGTTTGCACTTTTAGCGCTTTAGCTACATCACGTATTCGCCCAAAACTTTTTCGTTTTCTTGTAGTTTTTGCTGTCCTCACTTTCCATATTAATAAACAATAGTTCAAACTTACCAAACGTTAAAAAACAAACTGTGATTATGATAATATTGATACTTAAATAAACAACTTGTATGAATGCTGAACACTGACTGTGATTTGCCGTTGTAAATTGTCCCTACGGACAGACTTATAGCATTGTTGCCTAGTTTAACCTTGACTTGCAGCGCTCTTCCATTGTACAGCATTATTTTATTCGTTTGTAACGTTTGATTTATTGCACTTTTATTTTGTTTGATATTTGTGGATTTTACTACGTGTATCCAAGTATCAAAAAATGTATTCCTCAAGAAATCGATAAAAATTGACTTACAGCGTTTTTCCCCTGTAGTCTTCAGTTGTTAAGATTGATAATCTACTTACTGAATGTAAGAATTGATGTAAGATACAAGATAATTTTTATTCTGTATTTTGTACTAATTTTGTTTATTGTAGCACCCTGATGATGCAAATAAAGATTTGAGAAAGTTTGGAATACTAAAAAGAGTACTTCTTTGTCATGTCTTCCGCTGCATACCCAAATAGTTGTGTTTGTTATAAATAATTGTTTTTTTCGAAAATAGAATCAAAATACTTTTAAATATAAATCTTTTCAACAAATTCCGTAACTTACACCATAGAGCTGGTCAATGGGTTACTCACGATTGCATCATTGATTGTTATAATTTAATTTTACTCTCAACCTTGAGGTTAAATAATTATATACGGCAATAAAAAGTTTTTTACTCTTTTATAAAGTATGTAATTTAATACACTGGCTATAAATATATCCAAATTTGATTTATTAAAATACATAATGTATTATACAAATTCTTTCTTCACTTGAGTTCCGTATAAATATTCTTAATTATGTTCAGATTTTGATAGTTACTTGTTAATGTTTTTTAATAATCCCAAAACAATTTAGTGAATGGTAAAAAGGAATAATTATAAAGAAGAAAATGCTACTACGGTTTAAACGATAATGTATGGTTTGATTTTCCACATAGTCAGTTGCTCATGTAGCATTGGATAAGATGAATAATAATAAAATATTAAAAAAGTTTTACATATTCTATAACGGACCCACTCGTCAAGTAAATGGACTCTTCCAACTATTTTAAAATACGAGTACAAAGAAAAAAGATATGTATATTTGCGTAAATAAATTGTGAGGTATACAAGAAAGTAGTAAAATTAATTTTTGGATATTAAAAAATAAAAGAAAACGGGATTATGGAAAGAATAAAGACTTTTCTTTTTAAATATATTATTCATTTCTTTTATTTTCTAATTTAATATAAAAAAGATCGTTGTTAGCCTGGTGATCAGTCATATAGTTACCATGTAAATTTATATAAAATATTTGGCAAATGCCTTATCAAGCAACAGGGCTATCAGCTGAAATTGTTAAAATTTCTCAAAAATAGTTCTGATTAATGCTAGCTATAATTTTAGCCATTTAAAGAGGTCTACACAATTAAAGAAAACCAGTTGACATCAACACTTTGTACTGATTTAAGATTTTCTAATTATTTTCTGTATCTGCAATCCTATTCCATGGTTGCTCCTCAACACTACCAAACAAGATAAAGATTATTCCAGTTCCAATGTACACGCATCCGCCGAGTATGAACGTATAAGACCATTCCTTCAAGCCGTTGTTATTGTGAATAAATGCTCCTGTAATCGCAGGCACTAAGAATCCAGTAGTACCACCTATACAACTAATAAGTTGGGTGCGAGATCTTGAGGGTTCTGTAAATTGGTTAATACAGCTGCTCCATTAATAACCATACTAAGCGTTAATAAAACTATTAATGGCACCCAATTGCAACCAATGAAAATGACACATATCATCAATATTCCAGGTATAATATGAGATGCTAGAATAAACGATTTTCTTATAGCTTTTGGAGACATTATTTTATTCCTCTTTAATTTATCTCCAATGAACCCATACGCCATACCAAAGAACATTCTCGTTAGATGAGGTAGAGCTCCTAATATTCTTGCTTCTTTAAGACTAAAACCGATAACTTCTGCCATGAATTTGGGTACGCTCTGCAGTTGTAAATAGAGACCCCACAAATTTCCGAAATGCAAAATATTTAAGATCCAAAAGGGAAAACTCAGGAAAATCTGTTTGTATGGAGGTGCATGCTTTTTCTTAGTAACTGATGCCCCCTGAGCTTCTTTTATAAAAGCAACCTCCCGTTCGGAAATCCATGTGTGTTCATCGGGACTATCGGCACAGACAATGTAGAAAATTATACAAAATGCAACTAGTTGTATTGTGATAATATGAAATCCCCAACCCCAACCCAAGTTTGGTAATAACCACACCTACTAAAGGCCACGTTACACATGTCGCTAAGGTATTTTGTGACGCCAATTTCGTGACGCTCGCTTTATCACTGTAGAGAAAAATTATTACAACGCCAGTATAGAAGCTTCTTTTTAATACTTTATATCTTGTGTCAATAATGGATATATCCCTATACTTTGCAAAGTACATTTTATCGCATTTTTTTGTATAGATACAAGATTTCCTTTCTGGGTATTAACACGTGTTCCTCTTTAAAAATGTATCAGACAAGCTAATAAAAAACATGTAACAAAGTTTCTCTTACATGTTTTAAACATTCTGCATACACGATGTTGTTTCCTGGTACTTTGTTATTTTTTTGCGAATAGGTCTTTATACTTCTTCCACTGTAGGTTCTTTTACTATGTGTTTAACAGTAAGTTACACATATTCCCACTTTCTGTACTTTAGCAACCCGTCGAAGTATGTTCTACTGATTTCTATCACTATAGACCTCATCCCTTACAAAGTTACAAGTTATACCTTCATCCTTTTTTTTTCGATAATTCCAACTCTTGGTTTACAGAAGTTTTTTTAAGGACCAGAAACAATCTCATTTCGATTACTTAATATTGTTCTGAAGCTATTTTCTTGTGGCATTTTAAATTAATTACTATTTAACTGGGAATAAGTCACAATTAAAGATAAAAATACGTTTATTGACGTTTCAATTTCCACTTCGGAAATCGTTCTCAAAATACAAACAGTTTGTATTTTGTCAAGTCTGTTGGAGTGGAACGAACATATTAGTAGAATAGTACGAATAGCACTAGATAAGTCCCCAATTGGACGAAAAAGTATTGGCAGACCAAGAAAAAGATGGTGCGACAAAAAGGAAGAAGAAGAAGTTATGGGCTGTATCCATCTGTGGTGATTTGGCAAAACAAACTGAATAAACTATTTTGGCATTTATGTAGCTTCATCAATATGGCCGCTATCAACTGTAAAAGTTCCTATTGTAAACCTGTTACAAAAATTCCTATTTTAGGTCATGGTGTTTACCGAAAAAACAAGTTCGTTGCAGTTTGCGACATTTCGTCTTGAAAACACTGATACGCAAATGCACGAAAATACTTTAGCTAAAAACACACAAATCTCCTAAAATACCCACAAAAGTGTTGA